GGGTGTTCCATTTAAAAATTCAGAACCGGAGCCATTTCCGCTGAAACCGGAAGTGACCGGAAAATGAAAAATATGTGAAAACTCTCCTCTCCACATACCATTTATCTGTACCAAATCTCGTTTTGATACACCTAATAGTCTAGAAGTTATGACTTGTCTAATAGATTCGTTGACACCCGGTATATCTGTGTATGTGCTGATATCAATTTCAATTTCCTTTTATCTCATTGAATGACGTTAGTATATAATCTGATTTTTTTTTCAAATTCAACTACACTACTCCTTTATTCATTTGTAACCTACCAAGTATGCATTATGTGTCGCCAATGTTATTATTATCACTATTATTATCCTCATATCAACTCCTTGATCGAAACCGGGTACCCTAGCAAATAACTAATAATAATGACCTTTGATAACATTCACTTGAACAAAAGTATATTCACAACTATCAATTTTAAGTTTGAAGTAGAGAAGTGTACCTATATACCTAAATACAACTCAAAAGAAAAGTAAGACCTTGTTCCATTGGTTTTTCGGGCCGCGGCCGCTTGAATTTATTTTCTCGTGACAAACCTAGTTTGAATTTTTCGATAACTCCTAAGATATTCATTCGAATTGTATAGTGTAAAGGGCAATTATAATGTGCGTGAAATATTTGAAATATTTATTCGATGAGGATTAATTTCGTATCCGTCTAAATAGCTTTCTAATTACCATAATTATATGTGACCATTATTTTAAACATTGAAAACATGAAATCGATTATTTTCCATAATTAGAAATCGAATTCCTTTTAGAGTATCATTCCTCGAACTAGGCTGAAGCGAGCGACAAACAACATATTTGTCATCGCCCCATCTGCCCGTGAACGAGGTAAACAATCGCATATCCGAATCACTCAATTCTCTCGTATGAGGAAATAAACTTCAACACATATAGTAAGAGGGCATACTTGAAGACTGGCTGTAAATCAAATTGTCTAAAAAACAATTCGTTCAGGCCAGTCTCAACCACGAAGAGCGTTGGATTGCATCTGACAGGTGTCAGTGCAGGACTCTTCACAGAAGTAATTTCTGCATTTGATGTTGTTGATACAACTGCCGGAATCGATTTTTAATTATTAGAACAGACTTACAGTTCGGTGGTATTAGCCAGGAAAGTAGTTGTTTTCTGATAGGTGTTAGTCCATTAACCTACAGTGAAGGTGAGTTGAGACTGGCCTGAACGATTTTTTTTTAGATAATTTGATATGAAAATCCATTGGTAGTCAAGTTTATCGCGTTCAAGCAGACATAGACTGAGGGGGACTTTCATTTATAATTATTGATGTATATAATTTTGCGTTGATAACACTGTGTAGCCAGCATTGAAAATTCATTGACACTGAGATTGTAACAAATCTGGCAAAGTTCAAAATCTGAATGATACTTGGTTCCTTTGACGGTCCAGAAGAGCTGCATATCACACTTATATTCTCATAATGAATGGTTTCAATAAATTCTGATGTTTTCAATAAATTCGTTACCTCCTATTAACTATAACACATTCAGTATATCCAGAGCATAAGATAGAAGTGATGTTTTGTATATCTCGAAGGACTAGTAAAAATGGTAGCACCGCATCAGCAAAGTGCTCTCACCACAATCAACTACATATTGTTTTTTTTTCTAGGTCTTCAGAAAAATTCACGATGACATATCTTGTGAGGATAGCTTACTTTACCAGTTCATGTCCTTAGTTGTCAAATTAAAACCATCGCCCAATAAAATTAATTCAAGCCTCGCATTACGATGCGACACGCATGATGAAGAAAGGCTGTAGTCGCGTTGGTTTTGTTAAACGTTGTCAATAACTCTGAAGATAAAAGTCCCTTTTTTGTTTTGTGTTGTCTTACCTATTTCAAAATTAAAATTGATAGTTATGAACGTACTTTTGTTTGAGTGAATTGCTGATGCGAGAATATGACAGATGTACATATAAGATGAACTTACAATTGCTGGTAGAATAACGCAACTAATTTGGTAGAATGACACTACCATGATTTTCTTTTACTCCGAGTTGAGACAAACAATCAGTTTTTCTAGTGGTAATTCCGTACCAATCAATCCTTTCAGTTTTAAGATCCTAGGGGAATAATGTTATCCTGGATTTGCATCAATAATAATCAATTTTTGATCCACTGGTTCAGGTTCCTCCTCATATTACACAGTATTGGACAGTCAAGCGGCGTTAGAAGCTCTTGGTTCCTGCCGAGTAACGTCTAAATTGGTATCAGATTGCCGAAAACGACTCTCCTCGATAGGAAGACTTAACAAATTGTCTCTGGTCTGGATTCTGGCCATACTGGTCTGGAGAGCAATGGGGCTGCTGACTCCCTTGCAAAGGAGGGTGCTGTAAGCAGCTTCATTGGACCAGAACCTGTCATTGGCTTCGCTTTAGTCTTTGAATATTACTGGAGTTTCATCCCAATACCAAACCGTTATTTTAACACCTCGACACGTGTTTCAATCACCAAGTGATCATCTTCAAGAGAAAGATTGAACTCAGTTTAAGATTTAAGAACTCCAGTAATATTCAGTACTACACCGTATGTTCCAAACAGTGCATTTTGAGTTCATTCTTTCTACTTTA